CTAGTTTTAGAAACGAAAGTGATCATGTGCGATTACAAATAAAAGAAAAAAACCCTTCAGGTATCCTGTTAACATGGAAAATTCCTCCCAGCGTGTATTTCCAGCTTTAAGATTTCCAGCTCGGGTTGATCTCTGTCAGGATTCAGTGTTTCTGCTTCAGCAGGTCACGCTGTCTCCTCTCAAAGCAACACATCCGTCGTCACTTTTCACTCAAACGTCCCTCATGATCACCGGATCCACATGCTGAGGGTGTCGGATAAAATCTTAAGACCTTTTTCCTGGAAACGAGCGGTTTTTCCTGCTGGTGTCCTTTAAAAGTCTGCAGCACTCGCATTTCTCAAAGGTCACTGAGAGAATGTGGCTGAAAGGACAAATGAAATCGTGACTATGAGGTGAACATTTTCTGCTTCATGTCTGTTTTAGAGACATTTTCTGACTGTTTTTTTTTTTTAACCTAAATTTTTTTCTACAATTTGTGTAAGCAAGTAAACAGTTAGAGCTGTTTATTGCTGTTTCATGCCCTACAGATCACCACTATCAAATCTGAATATCTCAGCAGGGTTAAAGGGCACTTATCTGCTTTTCCTTATTTCCTGTCATACAGAAACTGTATGATTTCAAATAAAGTAATCATAAAAGTAATAAATAATAGTAGTAGTAATAACGTAAAAATAAAGGGGTCAGTCGATCCACAAGTAATCCCTGCGAGCCAAAAGCACAGACTGCTCACTGACCTGCTCTTCGATCTGCATGATGTCATAGAGTGGGGCTTTCCCTAAGATCACTTTAGGCACAGAAGCCCCACCCCCTTGCTTTTAAAACATTCTGTTTATGAAGAACAGCGAATTACGAGTAAGTTGTATTTAAGGGGGAGGGGCTAAAACAGCTTGTTTCAGGCTACGTCCACACGTACACGGGTATTTTTGAAAACGGAGATTTTCCGTTTTCGTTTTAAAAAATAATCCCGTCCACACGTAAAGGCAGAAATGAAGGAAAACGCTGCTAGGAACATGCCAAAGCAGCAGGTGGCGATATATTCCTAACCGTGCAGAAATGTTGGCCAATCAGAAGTCTAGAAGCCTCGGTGGGAAATAGTAAACAAAGCTGGGGCATAGACGCAGAACCGAGTGGTATGTGTGGAGGGACAGTAACTGTGTGTGTATATGTAAGCATTTAAACACTGCAGAGACAATTAACAGTAACAGTATTGTAGAAATTCATTTCACCGAAACAATAACGTGGCGCACAGTGTGACGTCAAAAAATGCGCACACCTTTGACGCTGCGTTTTCTGCATTTTTCTCGTCCACACGTAAACGCAAAAACCGAGTTTTTAAAAATATCCACCCTGGCCGGAGTTTTTAGAAATCTCCGTTTTCAGTGACCAAAAATGCCGTTTACGTGTGGACGAAAGGTGCAAACGCATAGAAAAATCTGTGTTTTCAAAAATACCCGGGTACGTGTGGACGTAGCCTCAGACAGAGGATGAACTGAGGGGATGATTATTTTGAGCTTTCAACCATAATAAGCTATTCTAGGAGAGCCCAAGAATAAAACCACTGAGGTGTGAGCAGAGTAAGTCCACTGAAACAAAAAAGTCTAAACAACTCAAACATAAAAAGCCTGTTTTTGGTTTTTTGGGGCCATAAACCAGCTGAGTCACTTCTAAGGACCAGCCTGAGTCACGACTGAGGCTGCAGAGCAGCTTCACCTGCAGATGCTTCACATGCTCACTGAATACAAAACAATCCGACATCACACACTAAACACGACGATGGGGTACTTTACGTCTCCGCAGCTCCACAGGTGTGTCCAATCAGGCCTAATGTTGCCCTCGTCTCGGCCTCAGCAGCAGGTTCCCGAGCTCCTCGGTCTGATAAGAAGGTCTCTGCCGTATTCTGTTCGACGCCTTCTTGCTGTTTGTTGTGCGGAGGGGCTGCACGTTGAAACCAATTTAAATGAGCTCTGCTTTGATCCCGTCTCACCGGTTTTGTGTCCATAATGAAGCAAACTGCACATACCGATGAGCGTCAGCTCGATGCATTTGTACTTCAAAAGGCCCGCCTCAAAACGACGTGAAACACATTAGTAAAGGTGCAAGTTGGCAGCACAACGACAACAACACGAGGTCGAGACTTTATCGTGCTAGAGAGGAAGCTTGTTGGGAGGAATGACTCTGTGCAGTCAGTGAATGCAATCAAGTCCAGAAATGAGAAGTTGCCTCTTACAATAATGCAAACAAATTCATCTCAATACCATCAAATTTAGAAACATCCAGAGTAAAAATTAGTCCAAACATTTATACCTCTAGGCTGAGCTGTTGTAAAGAATTATCAGGCTGCTCCCTGAAAAGCCTCAAGTTGATCCAAAATGCTGCAGCAGAGTACTGATGGGGCCTAACGAGCTTCTCTTTAATTAAATCCTGAATTTAATTCTAAATCCTTCTCCTGACATACGAAGTCTGGGACAAGCAGCCCGTGTCTGTCTTAAAGACCTCACAGTAGCTTATCCCCCTAATAGATCACTGCTTTCTCTAAAAGTAGAAAGGGAGGCAGAGCCTTCAGCTTCAGGTCGCTCTGTGGAAGCAGCTCCCAGTCTGGGTTCAGCAGACATTACTCCCTCGTTACTGTTCACACTACGATTGAAGCTTTCCTTTTAGGTCGGGCTCGATCAGGTGACCCGGAGCCCTGCTGCTATTGGCTCAGGGTGCTGGTTGTTTAGTTTGTTTTTTTTCTGTCTCCCTGACTCCGCCCCTGATGGGTGCCTCTCCCTGATCCTGCTTCTATTATTGTCCTCTTCCTGTTAAAAAGGACTTCTTCCTCCCCAGAGTCTCCAAGTGCTTCCTCAGAGTGGATCACCTGATTGTTGGAGTTTTCTCTCTGATCCTGACTGTTGATTTGATCTGTCACTACATGAATTCAACTGAACTGAATTAAACTTCAGAGTAAAGCCAATAATAAAGCAGTTTGTTTGTGATCGTTGCTCCCCTCAAACTGTGAGCGAGCAGAGCTGGTGTCTCAGTCACACCTGTTACCTTATGAAAACAAAAACGATGGCAAAGTCCAAATGTATATACAGTCTGTGGTGTTGAGACCAAGAGAAGTGAAAGTCATTTAAACAGTGCAGTAATAATATTATGTCCATCATGACAGTCCAGAGTTCAGAATATGGAGAAAAACTACAACAAAGCTGGTCAGTAAATATAAGCACTGAGTCCACTCAGCTGCTGAAACGTTCCTGCCCTGTGATCATTTAGGGAAACTAAATGCATCCCAACTTACAAATCTAATTCTTCTTCTTCATTCAACTGTTCGTCCATCAGTCGCTGCTCAAGCTTCACTTTAAGCTCTTTGCGCTGGAATTTATTCCCCGATAACGGACACATCTGACGTCAGTCTGGGTCATTTATAGCACAGTTACAGCACCAGGAAGGGCTCTGTGGATGTAGCCCAGGTGTCACAACACACCTCAAGTTTGGCCAAATAAATCTTCACAATCGTTTATTCATCTGCTTATAAATCACTGCACCCACGTGACCTCTAGGGCCCCTAAATTGGACCTTCCTCTCAAATAGAGGACACGTTTTAGGCAGCAGGTGTAGGTGTCACCAAGTAACTACACCTGCTTCTTCTTGGCCACTTTTGGTGTTTATGACTCACTTTGCGCACTCAAAGTGTTCAGTGGGCCAGATGTGTTCCAGCTGTCACCCCTGACATCGAGGCCGTGTTAGGTGGAGCTGCGGCTGATCCGAAGCAGTCCACGCTCAGAGCTACCTGTGCGTCAGGTGCAACCATGTGTCGCTAAAGAGGCTCAGAGCGCGCAGCTGGCGCTAAAAGTGCGCGGGAAAGTGTTTGTCTTGTGTTTAGTGACTCTGCGTTAAGCGCAGTCGTGTCTGTGAAATCATCCCCAAAACACGCTGATCGGTCTCCACATTACGCAACCGCTCAGACGCACTGCTGCTCTCCAAGGGTCTCTGCTTTAATTCCCCAGCAGCAGCAGGGACCTTTACAGAGCAGCTCCGAGGAGCACCGATGCCAAAAACACGGGAGTGTCTGCGCACAGACACGCCAGGATAACGTGACAGCGCAGGTAACAACTCCACGTTATCGAAAAAAACAAACTCACCTTTAATTCCTGCGCTGGTTCCGACGGGCTCCGCTCACTGAGCCATTCAACTTAGAGTCCACAATTTAAAAACCAAAAAGGTAAACACAGTTTCTCCTCGGTGAAGATGGGAGCTCCTCCGCTCCTCTCCTCTGCCTCCTCCCGGCAGCGCTGCGCGTCGTGTTTTGGACGTCAGGCTGATAAAAAAGAGGTTTATCGGTTCACCTTGACATCCTGGCTCCTCCCTCCTCCTCTCTCTCCCTCTGTCTCTCCTTCACTCAGTCCCTCCCCTCCTCTCCATCAGCGGAGCAGCAGCAGGAGTGTTTCGTGACTCTCGGCCCAGCAGTCTGTCTGTCTGAATGATGAGAATACAAATCAAGCTGCCGGGTTTTTCCAAGGACGCACGAACTGGCAAAGGAAGACAGAAGGAGGAAAGGAAGGAAGGAAGGCAGAGAGGCGTAAAGCGATGAGAGATGTTTCCATGTCAGACAGTTTAAACTGGGTGGATTTTACTGCTGTGGGGTTTTCTCAGACTCATGCAGGAGAGTCTGAGGAAGACTGCACCTGAGATCCAGCTGGAGGAGTGAAGCAAATAAAACACAAGCTGCTTAAAATAAGTTCAAGTTCCTCACAGCATGCCACGGAGCCGGACCGATATATCAGCAGATATATGCAACATATATCTGCTGATATAATAGCTGATAACTCTATATTAAAAGTAAACATGTGAAAGAGAAACACCCTTCAACCAGTGTGAGGGCTGTTGTTGCATAGTTTGTCCACCAGGTGGACAAATAACAGGTGTTTGCTGCCCCAAATATGAAAACCAGCTGATCTGAGCCTGAGAAAGAGAGCATATTTCTCTCATGCTGGCTTATGAGAGAAATATTATACAGCGACTCGAGGAGACTGCTGTTGCTGTTGCTATATCATCCATCCATCCATCCGCTTCCGCTTATCCTTTTCAGGTTCAAGGGGTGCCGGAGCCTAACCCAGCTGTCATAGGGTGAGAGGCGGGGTACACCCTGGACAGGTCGCCAGTCTGTTGCAGGGCCAACACACAGAGACAGACAACCATTCGCACTCACATTCAGTCCCGCATTCACACCTATGGCCAATTTACATTTTTTAATTAACCTATCCCCACATATTAGTAAAACTAAATTTAAACTGAATTGAGTCAGGCTGAGCGTGATCTATAACTTATTTTGACATTAAAACTAAATTTCTTTTAAACTGCACTATCATGTTATCTGAGCGAGAAGTCGTAAATAACGGCACATACAAATGTTAAGGAAATCTGTTTATGTTTCATGTGTATGAAATAAAAAGTATCGGCTGATATATCGGATAGCTAAATCACCAAATATCGGTATTAGTCTGAAAAATCCTATGCCGAGTACACAGTGCATGATAAACCACGGGCTTTGAATAAAAGATGAATTAAAATAAGACGTCAGGTGTCCTACCTGTGCATTTCCAGCCATTTCATCCTGTTTATTCTAGCCAGTGGTAGCTAACACCATTGTCCTTTCTCATTTGTTAGCTACGTCACTTAGCATGAGGCAATAAGATCAGCTAATCCATCCAAACTATTAGGGGCTGATGCTAATTTAGCTAATGATCTAATTTGAAAGGTTACATCACAAACTAACCCTCTCTGGATTAATGCAGCGTATAACTAGCATGCTAACCATAGCTTCCTTGCTAATATTATTGCTAGCAAACTCATATCTAAGTGAAATGTTAACTGGCTAGCTTGCCAAAAAAATAACTCACCAGATAACATAATCCAACATTTATTTATAATGTCAAACTGATGGATAATGAAACAGTTTTTATTTTAGCCATCAGTAAGTCATGTAAGTACAGTTGTATGGCTAACATAACTTCTGTAGCAACAGTGAACACGGAGACAGTTAGCCAGCTAGCTGTAACTCAGCTACACAAGGTGTACCTGATAAGCTTTGTCATTACATCAAGGTAGCATAAAGTCTGATTTACTACAAACAAGGCTGTTTCAAGGTAACATGTGTTATGGGAAATGTAGTCCCCAGTGTTTCTGAGGCTTGCATTTTCAAAGCAGTCTCCTGTGAGCTGAGCAGTAACTTAAATTAACTCAGTTGTGGTTTCCTGCTTTTAATATTTAACACGATGCTACAAACCAGTGAGTTCGTATCCTGTTTAACACACCTGCACCTCCTGAACATTAAATATTTACACTGTCATTAGTGGTAAACTTACCTGTAAGGCATCAGTGTGCCGTCCGAGTCCATATATAAAAGGCTCCAGCTAGCATAATGGCTGAAGGCTCTGCATCAGTGGTCAGATTTCAGGGGCTGAGCTCAGACTACCTGCAGCTCATTTGACTTTCAAACTTCTTCATTACACTAGATTCAAATCACATCTAGCATGCTGCATCTCTAGTTAAAAATTTCCAGCTTCTGAGAAAGTGTTTTGTGCCAGTTTTCCTACTGAACAACGATTTTTACTTATTTCCTGTCATGGCTCTCCTGTTCCAGTGGTGGCTGTTCATGTTAAATATGGGCAAAGTTTCTAATACGGAGGTTAGTTTGTGCACAAGTAATCCCTGTGAGCTAAAGGCCAGGCCTTACACTGCTCTAAATACCCAGCTTTACACAGTTTGTTTTCTATCATTGCACCTATGTGATGTCAGAGAGGGGATATACCCAACTGCTGCACCAAGAGGCCCAAATAATTATTAATAGCAGTCTTTTCAGTCTGGCTACATTGCTGCCTTTGTTGGATTTTAGTGAAATTTCATGCCTTTCTTTTTCCTCTGTTATAAATTTTATCCCCACCAGAGATGAAAGGCAAATACCGGTGTGGGCCCCCGAGGGCTGATCCCGGGAGGAGAAACAAATCGCTTTGGAGATCTGTTATGAATAAAGGAGCAGCTGAAAGAAGCTTTTGACTAAGTTACTCTGAGGTGTGTTGGTGTAAATTATGTAAATTATGTGCGGTGTGTATTTTATTACGTGCGAGACTCCAGGGACGACCGTTTAATTCTCTACATTGGAACTATTATGATACAATTTTAACTCTACAACATTTTTATGTTATCAGAAAGTGTCTTGAACATTCCTTTATTACATTTTGTCAGAATCGTTACTTTCTGGCACCAGCAGCAACGTGAAGGGTAAGGGGCCCCCTCAAACTTCCACTTTTAATTGATCCTACTAGATGTGCACCCAGCATCCACTGCAGGAGGGGCCCCCTGTTCATTTTTGCCCAGGGTCCCTGCAGACTCTAGAGTCTCCACTGCTTCCCACCACAGATGTGAGCAGAGGTCTTACTGGGCCCACTGCAGTCAAATTGGATCAAATTAAAGATTCGTCCTCCCTCCATCGTTTGTGTTCCACCTGTGCCTCCTGACTACACCTCCTTCATCAAACCTCCTCGCCCCTGCAGATACATTTCAGGTGTTGTAACCTTTCAGTATTCTGTACAGAGACTGATTTCTGGGTTATAGGCGATAAAAAAGCCTGCTTACGTCTGGTTTTCCTCTTAATGATTTGAATTTAGCTTCTTTTTATTTTGGCTTGCAGTGAGTAAAGTTTCCTCACGTAGACTTTCCAAAGGAGGTGCTGAGAAGGCCTTTATGTGCGAAGGTAAGGATGGAGGTGGATTAAAGATGAGGAGAGTTGCACAACAAGTTAAAGGCAGTGACTTTCAAGAAACCTTCAAACCCATCACAGGCCTTCTGTTGCAGAAAAAGGAAAAAGAAGCGTCTTTGAGGGCCTGGTGATTGATCTTTGAAACGTGTAAACACCAGAAGAAATGCACAGCTCCTACGTTCCTGCTTCCACGTGCTCAGATATTTGAGGCTTTGTGCAGCCCAAACGGCCCTTCATATCGGTTTTTGCTCCTGTTTAGATGTCCTGCCTTTACTGTGTGTGACCTTCTGCAGCGTTGCTGATTGTCATGGTCCTGCGTCTGGAGTTTTATATCCCTGATTGTTTTGTTCCAGTCCTTCGTTCTTTGTGGATGTAATAGCTGAAACATCGCTCGATGGCTCCGTCTGTTGTGTTTTCCCTGAACTCCTGGATGCGTTTAGACTCTCTAGGAAACCAGGAAAAGAGGGAATCATCTACTCTGAGACTGGATTCAGTGACTGCTCCTTTGCTGGTTGCACTCATTTCCATAAACAGGTCAAACAACAATAGTGTTACATAAAAATGTGAAGTTTCAGCACAATATCTTGCAAATTGAAACCATCTTTAATCAACCGTGTCACTGATTAGTCGATTAATCAGCACAGATTAGGTTTGATTTTAGACTTGCTTGTTGCTTCATTTCTTTCTATTACTTCCTGTCAAAGTGGAGCTGAAACACACAGCAGCTGATTGGTTCATAAAAGTACAAATCATCCAATCAGAATCAAGAATCCTACAATCAGCACACACAGACACACACACACACACACACACACACACACACACAGATAAAAACACAGCCTTTGATGAGTAACTTTCCTCCAGCTGGTCCCTTCAAGAGGCTTTTCAGATGAACACTGAGTCTGTTGTCTTCATCGCTTCCTTCGTCATAAAGATCAAGCTGTTCATCTCACACACACACACACACACACACACACTAACCCTCTCATAGCAGAAATCCTCAGTCTTTTCTGGGAACAGAGCATTTCTGATCCAGTTAAGTCTTTGCAGAGGTGTCGCGCGTCTTTTCCAGCTGCTGTTAGCGGGAGACGATCTGGAGCTTTGTTTCACTGTTTTCTTACAAACACACGTATCTGTAAGACAGTCTGCATGTGCGTAGGAGTGCGTTTTCAGTTTGCTTTTGTTTCCTGCCATCAGCACTCGGAGTAGTAGGAGGTTTTTATTGCTATTGTTGTCATTTTTTCTGTTTCTAAACTGAACCGAGGCCTGATAGCATGTAGTTCACCGACCTGTCGCTCCAGTGGGCAAAGAGCCTGGAGGCCACACTCTGAGACACAAAGGAACTAAAAAAGGCTGTCATGGAAACCTGTTAGTATCCCCCAAGAAACCAGTGACCAGAGTTAAGCTCAGACCTGTCTGTTTATGAGGTATTTTCCACTATATGGCACATCAGCTACATGTTTGGCAGCTGATCTGTAACGGCCTCTTCTTTCTGAAACTCAGAGAACATACTGGAGTTTTAATCACCAAGCAGTGATGGTCTTTACCAAACAGCCGGCTGTGTTATTGGTCAGATAGCCAATTAAAAATGCTCCAATAGCACAAAAGGCCTAGCAGATGCTACACCTGCTTGGGTTGGCGCAGCAGTCAGTCCAAGCAGCCGTGCTCAGGTATCCAGGCGAGTCATGAAAAAGTTCACCTCAC